TATATCTTTTTTGCTGGCTTTTATATATTTAAAATAAAACAATTTGTTGAATATTTAGACTTAGACTTGAAACTCAAACCCTAAACCCTAAACCCTAGGGGGTGCAGTGGTGGTTCACCGAAGGTTGGAGTGTACAGACAGCCGAGAAAACATTGAAAAATGGATATTTGAAATGGAGATGTGGGAAATTTTGGCAAAAAAGAAGAAAATAAATAAAAAAACAAAATTAACCATTTAATTCAACTTTGTGAGCTTTTAAACCCTGAAAAGTCTTCAAATCCACAAATTTGGCTTTCCTCTTTTCCCCGAGGGTTTAGGGTATAGGGTTTGGGGTGTACGTACACCCCACGCGCTACAGCACAGAAAACTTGAAATGAAGATTTCGGAAGTGAAAGAATTGGAGGAACAAAAGAATAAAAGAATCTAAATAAATAAAATAAATGAATAAATAAATGAAATGAACAAATGAAAGAAACAAAACAAGTAAAAGAAACGCCCTAGCAAAAAACCTTCTCCCACGCGTTTGTGGTCTAGTGGTAGAATACCTCGTTGCCATCGAGGTGACCCGGGTTCGATTCCCGGCAGACGCAGCTGCGCTTTTTTGGTTTCCTTTCATTTTTGTTCATTTTTGTTTATTTTTATTTATTTCCAAGTTAATTTTTGTTTATTTTTATCCTTTTTGTTTCGTTTTGTTTATTTTTAATTGTCTTTGTTTATTTTTTGTTCCTTTTTGTTTATTTTTGTGCTTTCATTGTCTTCCTTTTGCTTCTTTTTGGCTTTTTCGTTTCTTTTTATTTCTTTTTGTGTCTTGTTTCTTTTTCTTTTTGAGCTCTTTGTATTGCCTCTTAAAATGTTTCTTGCTGATGCAGCAGATTCAAACGGGCAGCAAAACAACTAAGTGGCTTCGCTGCTGGAGCAGCAGCACCACCACCACCAGCTTGCTGCTGCTGCTGCTGCGCGCCCACACAGTTGCTGCTGCAAAGAGATCTAAATTGTTTAGGCAGCAAAACTAGCTCATGTGGAAGCAGCAGCAGCAACAGGGGCTCATGTTGCTGCTGCCTACATTGCTTCTGCAGCTGTAATAGCAGCAGCAGCACCTGCTGCTGCTGCTGCTGCTGTTTACGGCAGCAGCACGAAGTCTCCATCGGCGAAGAGCCGCTCATAAACTGCATCACCAATTTGGTATCTGCAAACAAATAAAAAAATGTCCCCTGGACCCTTAGCAGCAGCAGCAGCAGCAGCAGCAGCGACAGGCGAAGCAGCAGCAGCAGCAGTAGCACAGGAAGCAGCAGCGTCCCATCCACTGCACTGGCAGCAACACTGGCTTCCCGGTAGCAGCATCTCACCCAAATCAGCAGCAGCAGCAGCAGCATCAGCAGCAGCAGCATCAGCAGCTCGAACCCAGACAGCCCAGCAACAGCAGCAACAACAACAGCAGGAACAGCAGCAGCAGCAGCAGCAGCCGCCCTCCCACACTGCTGCAAAATAGCCCAGCGAGCCCCAAAGCAGCAGCACCACCACCACCACCAACAGCAGCAGCAGCACCACCACCAACAGCAGCAGCAGCACCACCATCGCAGCAGCACCACGACCACCAGCAGCAGCAGCAGCAGCAACAGCACCAACAGCAGCAGCAGCAGCAGCAG